AACTTTGATAGTTAAAGAAGTTAATTATTTTTATATTTTGATAAATTTGACTTCTTTATATTTTTTTTCTTTGTAATTTATGATTTTTTAATGTGTAATTTATTTGACTTATTTATGAATTTATATATTATATAAATATAATACCTTTAATAGTTAAAGAAGTTAATTATTTTTATAAATTAATATATTTTTATTTTTTAAAGACATTTTATTTAATAAATTTAGGTAAGTGAATTAAAGTTTTCAAATATTTTAAACTTAAGGGTATTTTTATCCATATCAAAATTTATAGAAGCTATCTTGTATAATCTTACAAAGTTTCAAATATAAGATAAGATAAATTTTTTATATAATCTAAAGAAGTGTCAAAGATAGGATGATATTCATATTATCTTTTTCAATCCAATCCTATCTTATCCCATTATTTTTATCTTGTTTAGTTCTATCCTAACTCGCATTCCAAACGTGCTGTAAGGGTGTTGAACAATTTCATAAAAGGTCCTGACATTTAAAATGCCAGGATGCCCTGATTTTCACTTTACTCATTAACAAAAGAGATAGAGAAAACTCAAGGCATTCTGATAATTAAAATGCCAAGATTAATAATAGAAAAACTAAACTACCTTTAATGAATCAACACGCAAGGAAGATTCATTAAGGTATTTGAAGAATTTTATAGGAGTTCTGACATTTAAAATGTCAGGAAGTCTTAATTTTCACTTTTCTCATCCACAAAATAGTAGAATGTAAAATACATTGAAAGCTCAATATTTTACCTAACATAAAAAACCTGCACTCAGCGATCCTAATATGCAATGTGTTCAAGCAGAAATATTCATCCTTCTAGAAAAGGTCCTACCAGACTATTGTCCCCTAACAATAAGCATTTCTACTACGCCAGATTGTCTCTATAGAAGTGTGCCAGTGTTCCAATGCCAGTTTATAAAAATACAGTTAATCAAAGGTGCTAAAAATGGTGTAGTAACCGAAATCATTCAAAATCAAAGCACGATTCATAATCAAGACAAAGACGAATCCATATCTGATCCAATGCGTAAAATAGACGCGCAACTTGCACCAAGGGACGCCAAGCGTAAAGAACCCGGAGGCTCCGGAGGTCGGGTTGTAGGAAGAGGGGCAGATGAGTGAGCGAGACTTGAGCGTCTATGAGAAGAGCAAAATGAAGGAAACGATGAGAAGGAGAAGGAGAACCAGAAATGGACAGTGAGTGCCAAGCTGCAGGAGCCCCAAACGCGATAGATAGTTAGTGATTAACAGCGCAAGGCTGGGCCTCTTGGTTTTGGATTCGTCAGCGGCGCCGGAGTGAGCCACGGAGTCAGTGGCAGAGGCGTCGGTTGGGAAGTCGGAGTCGGTGTGAGGAGCGGGGCGTAGGGAGGGGAGGGCACGGTCCAGCATCTTGGTTGGCGTTTAGAGTGAGTGTGACGCTTGCTGATTCTTCCTTGAGGTGAGGATGACGGAGATCAAGAAAGTGGCGGTGACATCGGAAATGGGCAAGTTGAGTTTTCAGCTTTAAAAAATTTTTATTTCTTTTTAAGCAGCTTTAAAATTTCTGTGGCTTATTGATTACAAAGCCGGAGTTAGGGGGTTAAAGAGGGGTCAAGTCTTCATTTAGTAAGGATGACATTGTGTTAATACTTTTTTATAAAGCTTTATTAAAAGTTTGTAGTTCTATGGGTTTTTTTTTTTATTTTTTTTTATTTTAATTTTTTAAAAGTCTTACACTTTGTAGTTTGGGTGGAACGTAATGGAGGGATGG